AACTCAAAAGCATATGGAAGTGATTGTTGATAAATCAAAATAAATCAATAAAAAAAAATTAAAAAAAGAAGAAGTGATGAGGCCTTGAAGCATCATGGGATGGGGTTAAGAAGCACAGTCAACAAGACCCAGCAAAGACTGGTCCTGGGGATGAGGAGTTGGGAAGGACCAAATATGACTGAGGTGGCCAATCAGACCGTCTGGAAACACAGCGGTGCCCTAACACAGAGGTGGACAGCTGGGGAGAAGATGAGTTCTGTCGGAGGCATGGGGCATGGGTGACGATCCGGCCACTCATCAGAAAGAGAGGGGATTCAGGGACGAGGATCTAGGAAGGGAGGAGAGGCCACGGCTCAGGAAGGATGTGGACTGAGAAAAGACCAAAGGTTTGCAGAGAAACTATGTGGCCAATTGTAAAGCCCAATTCTGGGTGGAGAAAAGTCAGCCTTCGGGTGTGGCAGAAGCTCTAGGAAGGAACAGCAAGGCGCGCCACCACGCTGGCGAGCCGGGTAGCATCTCCAGGGCCTTTCGTAGAAACACTCAGAGGCGGCATTGGCCAGAATGGGCTGTGGCCTCCTGCTCTACAGGGCCAGAGCTAGATGGCAACTCTCAGGACTGGGCAGACGAGCGAACGCGGCTAATAAGGTCAGACTTCACCTTCACAGCCCTTCGGGGGCAGGGAAGAGAGGTAAGCTCCTCTGGCTTCCAATCCACTTTAAAAAGCACACATCCTCCCAGTAAAAGCTTAAACTCTCAACTCCGACACTTCAGGCCCTTTGAAATCTGGCTCCTGTTCAGTCTTGATCCATTTTCATCTTTATCCTGCCCATGGTGAACCCTTAATGTTAGGTGAATTTAATTAGGGAAGGCAGGGAGGGAAGCCTGGACCCTTCCCAGGGCAAGGTCAACAGGAGGGCATGGCATCTGTGAGCAGACCCATGCTAGCACTCAGGGGAGTCCCTTGGTCCCACTAGGAACAAACAGCATAAATCGTGAAGCTGACGGTTGTGTGCAGAAAACCTGTCTATCCATGGGGTTTATCATCAGAGAACACTGAGATCTGGAAAGCCCTTCCCCCTCTTCCTGACCTAGTCGAATGCCGGCCCTTTCCCCAAGGTCAAATACCAGTCCAGTCGCCTCTGATGACCTACCAGCCCCACCAAGCTTCTCCCAAACTTCTGCAGCTCTCACTTCTTGTAACTCCCCTGTCATTTCCTAAGAACATGGGTTTAGAGCTGGAAAATAATCCCAAAGGCCATCTAGCCTAATGCCCCAAATCTTACCCCCCTAGTCACACGGGGAGTAACAATAAAAATAATGATTATTATTAGTATTTATATAGTGCTTCCTGTGTGCCAGGCACTGTACCGAATTCTTTACAACGTTCATATTTGATCCTCACAACAACCCTAAGAAGTATATGCTATTATTGTCCCTATCTCACAGGTGGGGAAACTGAGGCAAAGAGATTAAGTGACCTACCCTGAGTCATTTAGCCAGGAAGTGCCTGAGGCCAGATTTGAACTCAGGTCTGGGGAATTTTTAATCCATTTAAATGTCCCCTCAGCACCCTTCCATGCCTCCCTGTTTACCGGCTGGAATGTCTGAGCCCCTCATCTGGCCCTGGAAACCCTTTACAAGGGGGACTCCAACTGCCCACTCCTCTTCTGCTCCCGATCCCCCAGCCACGCTGGCTTCTCCCCCAAGAGGCCCTGGGCTTTCTCCTCTTTGCTCAAACCAGCTCCTTCATTGCCAACCATGGAAATGCCCAGCTCACTGCCCAGAGCCCAGTCCACATGGCATGTATTCTGCCAATCAACAAGCACTGATTAAGTGGCTCCTGTGTGCCCAGCAAGGAGAAGCCGCTCCTGTCCTGAGGGGCTCACAATCTGGCCAGAGAAGATATGCAAATTACATGGCAATATCTTGTAAAGACAATGGGGGAGGGGTCTGGAAAGGAGCAGCTTAATCGGAGTCTTTAAAGGAAACAGGATTGGAAGAACGAGGTGAGAAGAGGAGCCGGCCAGGGGTCAGGCCAGGGGTCAGCCGAGAACGAACAAGTATGGGGATGAGATGATCCGAAGGCCAACCTGACTGAGTTTGTGAAGGGAAGTGAATAAGGCTGGCAAGGCAGGCTACAGCCCATGGCACAGGACCACTCCCTCCCTGAGCCCTTCTTGGGCCCTTCCTCTACGCCCTGGCGCACACCGGTCTGGGCATGCTGAGACCTCCTAAGTCATCCCTCCCGGGACCATTCCTGACAGATGGTCACCCAGTCTCCAAAGACCGGGGGCTCACCACGCCTAGAGGCAGTCCAATCTACTTCTGGCCAGCTCTGATCTTCAGGCAGGCTCTCCTTACTCAAGCCTCAATCTACCTCTCTGTAACCTTCTTTCACTGCTTCTAGCTCAGGGAAACAAGTCTTCCAACTAGGTCCCCTCTGACCTCTCCTTCCCAGGTCCTTCAACCCATTTCCATGAGGTTTGGAGCTACTGAGCGCAGGACCAGCGCCTTCGAGTCTGGCACACTGTCCTTCCACAGCTGGGCCAGGACTCTAGGATCCCAGTTATGAGACCAGAGAGGGAGTCTTCAACCTAGTTTGAGATCATGGAAAGGGCTGGCTTCAACATTTCTGGGCAGATCCCTTCACTTAGCAAGTGGGATGGTTAGGAGGAAAGCAGTAGCTGAGGCTGAGAGCAGGCCTTTCATGAGAGCCCAACTTCAGCTCCAGGGGCATATCTTCATGCCAATCCACCCTGTCTGACCTGCCTTCCTTCTCTCCTTCTCCTGCAGCTTCCATCTGATGAGCCTTTTACCTCCAAGAAAGGACACAGAGAAACTGCTTCCTCGGTCTTAGGCCCTGCCCTCCCCCAACCCAGTGCCCTTGGTTCGGCTCCCCAACTCATTTACAGCCACCCGAGCATTGGCCTTAGCCAAAGAGAGAGGCAGAGGGGACTGTTTTCTCAAAGCACCCCACCCTCCAGGGGGAGAAACAGCCTTGGCGTCTCTGAACTGACTGGCAAGCTTGCTCACGACTGATTACCGCACAGGACCAGTCGTTAGCAAAATTGTCAAATGGGCCAAATGTTATGTTCAGAAATTATCCTTTTGCCTGTTGGCATCTCCAGCCCCAGTGATCCTATCTCCAGCCTAGATCCCTGGCGCCTTCCTGCTGCCTCCAAATGCTTATGGTCTCTTCCATAGCCCCTTGTCTCTTTCCCATCAAAATGTAACTAGAAACTAAGTAGAGTGAAGGTGTTCAAGTATGATAACGACTTCAGATGTTGCCCCTCCTAAGGTATATATCTGAATTTTAACTCAAGCCCATAACGTCCCAGTGAAATTCAAGGGGATAATTCCCAGTGGTAACGATTACAACCAGTATGGAAGATATTTAAAGCAATGGAGACAGTCTCTGGTGCCTCAAATCACAAAGAATCGTAAGATTTGAGGTTTGGAAGGGACCTTAAAAATCATTTTGTCCCATTTCCTCACACGAACAGGTGGCTACCTATTTTACCTAAGGTTATGGACCATGGAAAGAGAAGGTGTGTGTGGTGGCTAGTGCCCCTCTGGACTAGGCCAATGCCAGATGGGAGCACATGCGTGCGCACGCACACACACATATGTATGGACACATACACGTACACACACACACACACACACCCTTGCCCCTGTCGGGGGGCTGCCCTGGAGCACACACCACTGCCAGGCCTACATGAGCATATACTAGGTATCTAGTATTGGTCCATCATGCCTCCCCACATGGATTCTACTTTCTTTAAAGGCAGGGGCCCAGCTGTCTTTCCTACAGCATCATCTATCCCAGAGCTACGTACACAGCAGGGGCCTAAACAGTGCTTTGACTGGACTCCATTTATTTGTAGGCTAGGAGCCTGGGTAACAGCAGGCGAGAGTCTATCTGAAATGACGTGAGGCACCATCAGGAGCTCGTGTGCGGACACACGTGTCACAGGGGTAGATACCCAGAACCTGTTTTTCGGTCCAAGGCTGCATCAGACAAGCTGGGCCCCTGCCCATCTCAGTGAAATCCTAGTGCCGAGCCAGGGGAAGGGTAAGCTCAGCCTGGCTGGCAGATAAGGAGGCGGCCCAGGCTCAGGGAGAGGTCTGGCAGGTACAGGCTCCTCCAGGGCGTGGGCACTGGGGGCCAACACCCACACTCTGCCATGCATGCACACAACTCACACTGTGTGTCTGTCACACATACATAGACAATCTCTCACCAACATTCTCAAACAGTCTCTCTCTCACACTCACACTCTCTCACACACACATGTATGTACATATGCCTCTCAGGACTCAGTTTCCACATTTTCTTCTGGCTCAGACCTGAGATTTCATTGTACCTCCTGGGGAAGAGATTCTCTCCCCCAAGGCAGGAGTGCTGAGCATCGACCTCATGAGGCCCACCCCTGCGCCTGTCAGAAGTGAGGCTTCCTGACCCTGAGGCCGGCTCTCCATCTCCCACACTGCCTCTCTAAGTTACAGCATCCAGGATTCTCAGGACATCTCTCTCTCATCTAAGCAGTAACTGGGCCTGACCCCACTTAGTTTCCAAGATCTGATCAGATCTAGGGTGCTCGAGGCAGATGGTAGCCCGGTGGATGGAGCAATGGGCCTGGAATCAGCAAGACTCGAGTTCAAATCTGGCCTCAGACACTTCCTAGATGTGTGACCCTGGGCAAGTTACTTGACCTCTGTCTGCCTCGTTTTCTTCAACTGTAAAATGGGGACAATAATTGCATCACCTCCCAGGGTTGTTTCAAAGACTGAATGATGGCAGGGTCACATAGAAAGCACTTAGCGCACTGCCTGGCACACGGGAGACATTTAATAAATGCCTCTTCCTTTCCTTTCCTTCCCCCGCACCAGAGGGCTCAATCCCCACGCACCCCAATTCCTGCCCCAAGAGTCGTCCACCCAGAGCTCAGGGTAGCCAATAAAATGACAGGGCTGGTAACATCCCAGAGCAACTGTACCTTTGTAGGTGGCTTTGTTCCTTCCCAATTCCGCACATCCATGGAGGGGGGCACCTGGTAGATGTCTTGTCCCATCCCAGCTGACGGGGGCACTTGGTAGATATCCTGAGGAGGGCTCACAGGCCCGGGGGGCACCTGGTACACGTCCAGTGTGGGATTTAGTGATGGGGGGACTTGGTAGATTTCCTGGGCTGGGCTCTGGAACTGGTGATGGGGCGTCTGCTTCTGGTACATCAGGGGCTGTTTGGCCGGAGGAGACTGGAACTGCCCGCCTGAAGGAGGGACCTGGTAGATACCCTGCTGAGCCTTGTTGGAGCCCGGGATCAGGTAGACACTATCTCCTTGGGTCTGGTAGGCAGGGTGCATAGGGGCATATTGGGAGGCTGGCGAAAGCACATTGTAGAGGCCCTGGGGATGGCAGGGCAGGGCCGGCTGGGGCTGAGGTTGCCCCTGGCCTGGCCCACTCTGCTTCTTGTCATACATGCCCACCAGGATCTTAAGCCGGTTGCCTGGCACGATGCCCTGACGCCCATGTAGACTGCAGAGCCACCAGCCATCCAGCCCTTGAGTGTTGCGCTCCAAAACCGTCATGATGTCACCCTTGCGGAAGGACAGCTCATCAGGGGACTCGGCCACATTGTCATAGAGGGCTTTGGCCAACACATTCTGGGGAGAGAGGGGAGACAGGTGGTTAAAAGCTGATCGAGACAGGAGCTCTCCCTTTACCGCTGATCCTCCCTCCAGCTTGGCCTCTGCCTTGGATGGAGGCCCTGAATTAGGCACAGCTCCCCTCCCCAACACCAGCATCAGGAGGCCAGGGACGGGCTCCAAACATCCCCCAACACCATTTTATGAATAATTTTTTACCCAGTCAGGATCCATCATCCCTGAATTTCCCTGACCCTTCCCGAAGCTATAGCACTGGCCCTGACCACCTACCAAGCATAATGAGCACCATTAAATCGATCTCTTTACTGGGCTGAGTAAAATTTCCTTTTCACTTCCCTAAAACTCCCTCCTTCACATTGCAAGGGCCGGGTCTGCCTCTCAGCTCCCAGTCTGTACCCTTCTTCTGCATGCCCTGCAGGCTTTTCTAGAACAATCATACTCCCCAACTCCTCCACCCTCCACCCTGGCTGGGTCTTCCTCTATCAGCACATTCACTTTACAGCTGAGTGCCCAGTCCAGGGGCCAGAGGAGGGACACAGGCAGCTGCTAGGGGAACATAAGACACACCATCTCTGAGCAGCCAAGAAAAGGCAGAGAGAGGGCCGGACATCATGAGGGCTCAGGACCAACCGAGAGAGAGAGAGGGGAAGATGCCCCTCTCAGGAGGATCACCGAGCTACTCAGCATAGGACATGCTCCCTTCCCTTCCATTTTCCCCAGGGGCTTGACCAACCCTCCTTTAGCTGGAGGAAGCCCCCACCAGTTTAGAGCTGTCTGACAGTCTGAACCCAGGACAGGAATAACAGGAGCCCCAGAGATCTCTGGCCTGAGCTCCGGCTCTCACCAGAGAGGTCCCCGGTTAGTGGGAATAGTAAATCCCCCAGAGTCATGTATGAAGTTATCATTATGTAAAATATGGTCCCGGGTTCTAGCTCCATGGAAACAAATCATGTGAATCTGAAAAATGTGACCATTGCAGGAGATCCAGGATGGACACTAATTGGGACCTAGTGGTAAGGGGTCACACCTCCGAGGCATTTTACAAAGCACTTTCCTTACAACAAGATCTAGAAGGTGGATAGACAACTTATGTCTTATCAGCCTTGTCGGACAGATTTCAAAAAACTGAGCCTCAGAGGTGACTTGCCCCAGAGCACTTCAGCCAATAAGTGACAGCAACAGAACTTGAACTCTGCTCTTCTGACTGTGGGTTTCGTGTTTTTCCCACTACACTCTGCCACCTCATGGCTGTGACTACGCAGTCCTGGGTTTCCTGACACATCTATTCCATTAGTGCCAAACTCACAGAGGAGGAGATTCCGAGCTGGGCTGCAGAGACAGTCACAGCCTGAACAGGCTCGGTGGGGATGGGCTGACTCACTTCTGAAGCCAGGCTGGGCCCCAAATCCAGGCTCCATGCATCCACCAGAAGGATGACCTGGTCTGGCTGTCCCCTCTCCCCTAGGAGGCATCAGGAGCTCCAGGGCTGGGTTACCTCACTTCTAAAAGGCTGCTGAACCCCTCATCTGTCCAATGGGAATGACCTCTTGCCCTGCCCCAGCTCTATATGGTTCTATAAACACAGCACTCCCCGAATTCTATCCAAGCCTCCAGGCCCCTAAGAAGGAAGAAGCAGGAAGGCTCTGGGAGGGGGTGGGGCTGAATGAGCCCAGGCCAGGGATAGGAGGCCCAAGGCCACCCTTTGCCCTTCACTCCCTCCCCATCCAGGAGGAGGCCTGGCAGGTCTCTCCTCACCTTCACCACCCACACCAGCTGCCACCCCCACCAGTAAGGGGACCTCCTCCTCCCCCTCGGGTTTCTCTGAACACTTGTCTCCCCTTAGTACTGCCCTTAACGCTCCTCTCCCTCCCCCATCAAACTGCCCAGACTCCATGACTGGCTCAGCTTCTTTGTCTACTCAATGCCTACAACAGCAATCGCACATGGGAGCTGCCGAACAAACACCTATTTGTTGAATGGAATAAGACAGCTGAAGGGGACAGCCAGCAAGTGGGGGGAGGGGAGGGTTAAGAGACAAGTTGTCCAGGGCCTAAGCTGTGGATCTAACCCTGTAGGGGAAAGAGTGGATAGAGAGCTGAGCCTGGAGTCAGAAAGACCTGAGTTCAAATCCAGCCTCAGACACTTACTAGCTGTGTGACCCCAGGCAAGTCACTTAACCTCTTTTGCCTCAGTTTCCTCAAATGTAAAATGGGGATAACGACAGCACCTATCTTGCAGGGTTTTTGTGAGGATCAAATGAGATCTGACCCACAGAAGGAGCTACATACATGATTATTCCCTTCCTGTCCATTCCCGCTTGATTCAAAATCAAGCACTCTGAGGAGCAAGGGAATGGGGAAAGCAAGGAAAACCAACCCCCTCCCTCATAATCCACAATATATACACGAATTAGAAAACTCAGAATATCGCACAAATGGAGTAAAGACACAGTGAGGCAAGGTACTGAAGAGAGTACTGAGTTCTATTTCAGCAGAGCTAATTAACTATTCCCAGATGATCAGAGGCAGAAAAGTCTCCCTCTGCTCAGCCAGAAAGCATTCTGCAAGTCCTCTTGATCTGAAGTCTGTGCTCAAGCACTGAGAGATGGAGGAAACCTCAGAAGTTATTGTCCCACCTTTTCACTTTGCAGATGAGGAAACTGAGGCCCCCGAAACTCTCCCCCAAATAACTGGGGGGCGGGGAGGGAAGGATGGAAGGGGGGGAAGGGCTGGGGGCTCAGAGGCAGCTGCTGCTCCCCCTGACAGTACAGCCAGGCTGGCTCCCTGCTGGCGGTTCCCAGGAAAATTGCTGCAAGGCCAGTCCAGCTGTTCTGGGCCCCAGGGAGAGCCAGACCTGGAGTGCTTGGAAGCCAAGAGGAAACAGAGAATTACTGGGAATGTAAACAGAAAAACAGGATGGCCCTTCCGTGGGGAATCAGGGTGAGTGAGCTGGGGTGAGCTGGAGAGAAACCAGAGAGCAAGATGGGGCCGGGGGGATGGGCCAGGGAGGGTCTACACGTTCCTACAACTCCAGCTGGCTGGATGCCTGAGCACAACTGGAGAAGCAGCTGGCAGAGCGGGGAGCGTCAGGCCCGGGCTTGGAAGCTCACTCTGCTTTTTGCTACCGTGTGACCTTGGCCAAGGCATTTCACTTCGAGTGCATCTCAGTTTCCTCCCATATAAAACTAAGGGGCCTGGGTTCTAAGGTTCCTTCTATTTCTAAATCTGATCAATGTCTAACTAGGGGGGTTGGCTCAGAGGAAGCCAGAGCTAACAAAATTCAGCAGAGCCAAGAGCCCAGCCAGATAATCATCTAATGGGGGGGGGGGAGAGAAGAAGAGAAGGCAGGAGCAGATTTAACCCTTTCATCTCTTCAATAGGCCACTCTCCCCCCTATCCCACCCACCAGTTCACTTCCTTCCTCTGCCCTGACACAGAAGTAAAAGGCTATGAATGAGACCCAGCCAGGCTGGGGAACAGAGCTGAGATGCCCCAGGAGCAGACTTCCCAAATATGGTCTTAAGCCTGCCTCCCCTCTGGAATTACATCCTGTCCAAAAGCTGGCTGCTGTTGGGGGGGGGGTGCTGGAGGGGAAGGGACCGCCTACGGCTGTGACCCTAGAACATAGAAGCTCCCCTCCTCTCTCCATCACACCCACCCACTCCAGGCTTCATTTCCATTTCGGGTGGCTAGCTCCCACCCCTCCCCCTACACCTTCCCCAAGGACAGGAAGTGCCTGGAAAGTGAGTCAGAGGGAGAATTTCCCCTCTAGCCCAGTCAGAGGCTGTCAGTCCCTAGGACTGGGGGTGGGGGTTGAGGGGGACAGCAAAATCCAGCCCACCCTGGAGACAAAAGGGAATTCCCCTTCAGCAAAGGCCTCCTGGCCCAGAGAATGGAGGACCCTGACAGAAGCCTCCTTTTCCCAGCATCACTCATCTTCCCTGCCTCTGGAGGAGCTGGGCTGCTCAGGCCCTAAACAGGCCCATTTACTGTGGCCAGCTCCTCTGCTTCTGGCCTTCCCTCTCCCCAAAAGGGCCAAGAACGAACTCTGGACCAGAAGTCCTTAGGGCACCTCCCAACTGACACCAGGTGAGAAACGCTGAGGTCCTAAGGAGTTAATTTCTAATTGGGCACCCAGATCTTTTGTTTGGCCTGCTGGCCCGCACCATACTTCTCCACCCCCACCCATGAGCTCATTGTAATGTCTGTGCAGGTCTTGGCTAAAGACTGCTGCTAATTGTATAGTCTATTCTGAGGCCTTCGACCTAGAAGACTGAAACTACCTTGGGGGCAGGGAAGGTATTTCCATCCCTAGGAGAGGAAGGCTTCAGGTTCAGATTAGACATAGTACATGCTGCCCTAGTCTAGGAAGAGAGGTGGGGGACTATGGCTAAGGAACACTGGATAAGCTATCAGACAGGGTAATTTTATTGCTAAGTTTGCTAGTTTTTCTTTCTTACGAGAGAGAGTACATATACTGAGAAATGAAAGAAAAGGCTATGGTACATTAAGCCAATAAAACAGAAGGCTTGGACTCGGAATCTATGAAATGAAACCTTGCCAGCCCTACCATCAAACACCTTCATTTGGGGGGCCCTGGGATTCTGGGAGGGAGGGACTTGCCCAGGGTCACATTGCTAGTAAGTGTCTGAGGCTGGATTTGAACTCAGGTCCTCCTGATAGAGCCCAAGGCTCTATCTACTGGACCACCAGCTGTCTCTAGGGCAGTGGCACTAGAGAGTCCCATCTCCTCCCCAGCCCTGAGAAGTCTCAGCTTTTCACCTGAAGCAGTGTGGTGTAATGGATTTTGTACCTGTATACAATTTGTATTACTGTATTTGGAGTCAGGAATATCTAGCTTTGATTCCTGCCATCCTGCTTCCTAGACTTACTAGCCGTGTGAACCCAGGCAAGTCACTTAACTCCTCTCAGTTTTCTGTTCAGTAAAATGGAAGATGAGCACCTAGTCCACAGGACTGTGGTGGGGATCAGATGAGA